CTTCATCCACATCTCACTTATCCTGTCAGGGGTTCCTGGTTTTTCCCTCCTCAGACCATCGTCGGTACATATTCACCCCGGCTGACCGTCAGCACCTCACAAGCCTTGCAGTTTCAGAGATGCTCTGACCCGGTCATCTGAATGATTTGGCCCCCGCCAGTCACTCAGATCTTTACCCCTGCCCATTTCTTATGCATTTATCATGTAGCCTACAAGTACTGAACATTAGCTTACCAACCGAACAACAATTCATACTTCACTTTGGGCATGCACAGGGAGAGCTGATGTAAATCTTGCCAACAGGGGGTTGCACTGGTTGGCTGTGGATGGTTCAGGTGTAGCCTGGATGTTGTCTTTTGTCCAGTGGAGATCATGCACATCCATGCATGTCAACTGCACATGTGCAAGATAATTGACTAGGTATTTCCAGCAGACGGCAGCAGTGAGTTTCACAAAGTAGTGGTCAACCAAGAAGTACAAGTTGCTGGACATGTGGAGGTATTCATGTATCTAATTGTTACAGCAGTATACCATTTCTAAAAAAAAAACAAAAAACATTTATTGCATCATTTTAATATCTGGGTGATAAAATTTCTTCGGCGGGGGGACTAATTTTGTAATAAGGATATCAATTTAAAAATACCACAGTATGCCACATCATCCAAATACCACCCAAGCCTAGACTAACAACTGTTTTAAGAACTAATTTTATCCTTTTCACTACATTACTTGTGTTGGTTGCAATCCACCCTCAGCTGGTCTGGTGGAATATCACTGTTGTATGCATGCACTGACCAGGACCATTGCATCCATCAACAAGTGTAGCATGAACAGAAGCCTCAGCGTGCACGACCATCCACAGCCCGAAATCGTTAGTGCAAAAGTGAAGTATCACCTAGCCTTATAACATGTTGGACATGCACTATTTTTACACGAGTCGACGTCGTTCACTTCGCATGGGGGAGGTCATAATGTTTTGGCTCCTATTTCATGTTCATATTTCATCTACTGCCACACTACACACATTCAAAGCAAATTTTCGTTGTGTGCCTAACACAAACAAATTTGTCGCAGGTCATGCATGTGCACGTTGTCTTCGAATCAGTTGGACGGGGACACGCCGTGCAACGTCCCTTCTCTCCACCACCAGCTGCACCCTAAAACGATAACGTTTTATTAGTTCATCAATCTTCCTAGGATGCCTATATCTGTTCATCAACATCTCACACTTACTTTAGGTAACTGCAGTTTGTGTTGTGCATGTGGGCCCTCACCAGTTGCCTCTTGAAACTTTTTTGCAATCAAAGCAGCTGCTGGTGACCTTGGAATTCTCGCTCTTCTTTGGATTTGAGGGGACACAAGCGCCTTTCCCAGCTCTTCTAGAAACAATCTCCGTCTTATACGGAATCTACTTTTTTCCCAGTTTGGGTCAACTGCCAGCCAGATCACTAAAGCATTGTATGCAGATACATCCAGCATGTTAAAAAAGACAACAAGGGGCCACCGTAAAGTAATTCACTTGCAGCTATAACAGGCCGTGACCATGTCTAAAGTGTCTACCCCTCCTTTTGTGGCATTATAATGCAGAATGATCTCTGGTTTCTTGTCTTCTCTGTCACTGATCTGTCCCTCTCGATGCTGTGTACTCATCAGCATCACATTCTTGCCCTTTCGTGGTACGTATGACACCAGAGTAGTATTGGCTGTAAATGCAAACTCCGAGGATGTCACTTCCCTGTCCTTCACAGTCAAAAGCTCAGGCGGCAACTCTGGCTTGTTGTGTCTGACTGTGCCAACCATAGTCATGTTACGCTTGAGGAGTTCTTGTCCCAGGTTGTATGATGTGAAAAAATTATCACAAGTGATGTTGTGGCCGCTGAGGCCCTGTGTCATGTCGAGCACCACCCGCATTCCCTGGTTTTTCTCTGAGATTCCACCCGCTACCTTCCCTGTGTAGATTTGCATGTTCCACGCATAGGCGGAAGCAGCATCACATGCAGCCCAGATTTTTATGCCGTACTTTGCTGGTTTGGAGGGCATATACTGTCTGAACGGGCAACGGCCTTTAAATCCAACAAGGCGTTCATCCACAGTCACACTAGATCCAGGATTATACATAAGTGGAAGTCGTTTCACCCACTTATCCCACACAGTTCGTATTTCTGCCAACTTGTCCTTCTGCCGTCTCTCACATCTTGATGCCCACTCATCAAATCTGATGGCTCTTGAGAACACAGAAAAGCTGTTCAATGACATTACTGATTGGAAATAAGGTATTCCTTTCTCTTTATCCCACAGACTCAGAGCTGACTCTCCTCTTGATTTGTAGACACCTGCAAGAATAAGGAGCCCATAGTAGGCAAGAATCTCTGTGTTATCTACCTCTTTCCATCGCTTACGGAAAATCCGTTTTCCCTCAAGGTTGGTCATATTCAGAACTATTTTCTGAATCGAGTTTGAGATAAATAGCTCGAACGCTGATCTTATGTCATGAACACGGCTCACCGCCATCCTTGTGGGTCCAGGTTTCATCTTTAATCTTGTGGGAGGGCGAGGTTGTGCAACCTTTGGAGATGATGACCATTTAATCTGACCATTCCTGGACATGAATATTTCTCCTGGTCTCTGCTCAGGTTGCTGTGGAGCATCTTGCTCGAGAGTCTTGGGAGATTTTCGAGGTCTGCGCTTTAGATCGACTTTGTCTGCTGTATCACTCTCAGATTCAGTCACCTCTTTATACTCCCACTCTGATGAATCCTCATCGTCCTCTTCACTACTTGGCACTGGCTCCAAGTCTCGTCGTGCAGAAGTTCTTTTGGCCATGTTGGCTACCGGTTCTGAAAATGTGCAGATGAGAATGATGTGACCCATGCAATGCATTGCCATTTATCCATTTTGACCAGTTGTTTCCCCAATTTACATGAGATGCTCTCAGAATGTAAAAGGCTCTCGCATTACAGACTAGAGAGGACAGGAAAGCGGACGCTGTTTGAGGAATGTCTGAAGGACAATCCATTACAATACAATAGTTGCATTCTAACTAGTAGCAAAATAGATGTGCATGTAATTAAATGGTCTAGCTGAAAGCAGGTAGGATTTACAGACACCTACAGTTGCTTTCAATAAGGCTGCCAGTAAAATGCACATATTTCTCTGAACATATGACATGCTGCCATGACGTTGAGTAGATTTCCCTCAATTTAAACATTTAAATGTGAAAAGCCGACGTAAAATAAGTGCACATTCATACCTTAGTAAGAAAAGCAGCCTGGTCAACAAGTGTACCTGGAAACAAGAAATAAAAAGGAATGTGACCTACCGGCATAAACCCAATGAAGACAGCCAGAGTTACTTGTACATTTTAAGTTTCTCAATCAGTTGAGAAATCACTGGGTGCTTTTCCACCATACTTTTGGTGTGGTACTTTCCTTTTTCCAGTCAAGTACCAGTACCAAAAGTGCCAGTCCAAAATGAGGTAGTGTATATTGTGGTACTTCAGGATGGGATTTCAAATGCCCCTTTGGTTATGCAAATAGCCCGCCTCTGAAACACAATACAACCGCTGTCTTGGAAAAAAGTTGCAAACTCAGGATACGGAGAAGGATAAACGAAGAAAAAAAAAATAAAGGCAATAATGGACGTGTGGAGACATGAAGAGACCCGAACTTAAACTGCAATCCGGTCGGGAGAACACAGGCAAGATCAGGATGGCATGACGACAAAATGTTTTTGCGTAACATACTAGACCAGCACTATACAGGAAAACATCACAATGAGACTTTTGTAATAAATTTTGGGGTATTTGTAAAGCTAAAAAGAGTTCAACAGATGTCTCACAAATCCATCTAGGAGCTATTTAAACAGCAAGGATGAAAATGATTGGAACAGCAAGGATGAGTGTCTCGGAGAACGCATACAGCACTCATGCTAAAAACAAGAGAGACTTTTTACCTAACATATATCCCAAAACTAAACTTTTTTGTAAGCTGTCGGGCCGAATATCCCAGAACTAAGCTTTTTGTAAGCTGCCGAGCCGAAAAAAACATTTAAGGAGACACAAGACAAGAGACCGAGCGCAAGGCGTCATATTTTGAAAACCCCCTTAAGGCTGTTTTTTTTTCCTTCGGTTCTGCAGCTTACAAAAACTTAAAATCCCAAGCAGACGAAAATATATCCGAAAAAAATAAAACATATCACAGAGCTCGACGTTCAGTACCGCTTTCATTAATTTAATTAAAACTAAAGTACGATTATTCAAGAATATTATAAGTGGTACGTGAAGCCGTAAGACTGTACGAACAATAGTTTAGGAAGAACAAACGACATTATATGCAAAAGAGAAGCGGCACACACCTAGGGTTGCAAAATTCTAGGAATATTCTTGTTAATTCCCATACTTTCCCGTTAATTCCCATGGAAAGTTTCTAATGTGGAATATTTCCAAAATTCCCCATCTTAACTTCCCATGGAACGAAAAGTTTCAGGAAAATTTCCAGAAATTTTCCAGCCCTTTGCAACCCTACACACACCTCAAGCAGAAATCACCGCAAACAGACCGTCACGACCGAATTGGCGCTTTTAAATCGAATTATTTACCCCGGAAGTAGATCCCTGCCATCAGCAGCCTGTTGTTTTATTTTTCCGTACTGATAAACGACCAAATATTAATAGTCGTGTTTCTTTGTTTTATATTGTTTCATTTTGCAAATCAGTTAATATACGCATGTTTTATTTTTTTCATTAAGTAATAAAAAATTTATAACTTTGACCTTTGAAAGCGCGCGCTTTCAAAAGAGAACAATAGGACTAGGGTGACCAGATAATCCATATCAGGGAGGACATTCTGAGCTAGGACAGGAATTGTAAATTACCATTTCAATTAAACGGACCTGGATTTCACTTGAGCGCTGAGTTCTTGCTGTGTGCCGATTGGTCAGTCTCCTATAATCATGCATGTGTCACTAATGCTAAAATGAAACAGCTAGATGAGTCTTTCAGTTAAGAAAACAAACTAGTCAAAGCACAAGAAGAGCTGAACTATTTAGCCGAGCACAGGAGCCTTTTAATTTGAAAGTAATTTGTAAAACCCGAAGTAGTTCAAAGTTTCCTCCCTGACATGGATTATCTGGTCACCCTAAATAGGACTCATTCACCAGCCGTTCTTAAAAAAAGTTGTTATTTAAAGCCCACTTACACAGTTCTCATGAAAATTCTGACATTCGTAAATGTTTCCTTATTGGGGATTTGTTCTTAAAAATCTATGCACATTATTGACACATATTTGAGGGCTGACAAGTTTGTGCAAAATATTTGGCTCTTGCGTTTACAATTCTATAGGTGTATGAGGTGATTGATATTATAGGATTTAAAATGAACGGCACGCGCGGAGATACTGCTGCAGGAAGTTACTGACTGCGACATGCCGGGATTCGCCTCAGAATTGGTTGCCTCAGCAGGAGTTCATTTGTAAATAAATTAGAAAAAATGAATTGTACATTTTGAATACAAACTAAGCACTTAGGTAACACTTTTTCAACACATGGGCATTTTGAAAACGAGAACATGTATTCCCAAAAATAATCAGTCACCTTTAGGTTTTACACACTGGAGTTTACATGTTAAATATGTCACATGTTCCATGGTTTTACAGCTTTTACATAAAGTGAACCATCAAATTGGATTAATTCTGCGAAATCAGTTTACCTTCTGCTTCTGAGATAAGAGATGGCCTGCGTGTAGGTAACCTCGATCCTGGAGTGCTGGTATCCAGCACGTTTCCTATCCTACCTGATGATTCACTATCTGCCTGAGATCAGGTGTGATTCATCAGAGACCAGGCAGGATAGAAAACCTGGTGGATACTGGTGTTTTGCTCGGTGCATTAATGGTGATGATGCTGTTAAATAGTGACAAGTGCGTTCATGCGGCATTCATTCATTTATTTTTGCAGAAGACAGAAGCAGATTCATCCAG